CCCTATGGTGTAGACACGGTAACGACCGCGCGGTCACGGCCAATGCATAAGTATCGATATAGTTTCGGCAGCAAGTATCGATAAAGCTACTGTTTTAAAAAGCTTAGGACAATCTATCCCATCCCAACTAATATTATAAATGCGAAAGTAACTCTGTCTGTCTGTCTGTCTGTCTGTCTGTCTGTTACGCTTTCCCGCTTAAACCTCGCAACCGATTTTGATGAAATTTGGCATAGAGATAGTTTGAGTCCCGGGAAAGAACATAGGATAGTTTTTATCCCGGTTTTTGAAACAGGGACGCGCGCGATAAAGTTTTTCTGTGACAGACAAAATTCCACGCGGGCGAAGCCGCGGGCGGAAAGCTAGTCTAGTACTTTATAATAAATCTGTAGAGAGGTCAATTCTGTACATGAAATATATTTTCAAAATAACTATCAGGGGGTGATTAGTGATCGATACTGATGCCAAAAATGCAATCAGTAAAATTTTTGTCTGTCTGTCTGTCTGTCTGTCTGTCTGTATGTTCCTTATAGAAACAAAAACTACTTGACGGATTTTAACGAAACTTGGTACAATTATTCTTCATACTCCTGGGCAGGTTATAGGATACTTAGGAATTCCCACGGGAACGGGAATTAGCGGGAAAATTCTTTTGTATGAAAAATCTAAACCGCTTAAGTTAGACACTTGAAATTTGGCATGCAAGTACCTTAGAAAACTTAAAGCTTAGTTACAACAGGATATTGCAAAATTCCTACGGGAACGGGAGTTAGTGGGAAAAAACATTTGTATGTAAAAATCTAAACCGCGTAAGATAGACTCTTGAAATTTGGCATGCAGGTACCTTAGTAAACTTAAAGCTTAGTTACAACAGGATATTGCAAAATTCCTACGGGAACGGGAGTTAGCGGGAAAAAAATTGTATGAAAAAATATGAACCGCGTAAGATAGATGCAGGGGGGGTAAAACGAGATCCACGCGTACGAAGTCGCGGGCGGCCGCTAGTATTAACTAAATATCGCTATCACTTCGCTCCATCCAAAAGTTAAGTATAAAACAGTGGATGTAAGCGGCTTACTAGAATCGATTGCGAAAAACGAATGATATGCTACATCGTCTTTTAATTATTTCGTTTTCTAAGGATTGAGATACTTTTCATAAAGCCTGTTAACCCTTAAAAGGAACTAGTGCAAATCTTTGTTTTCAAAACCCTTACCATTACAGAAAATTAATTAGAATTTTAATTAAAATATTGTGGGAACTACATATTGGGAACTTTATATGATAAAAACCTTAAGCTTACTTGTGTTTACCATCTAAATATCGATAGTCTTATCCCTACAAAACATGGCGTCGCCGCGTCGGTTTTGGCGCGAATCCTATGCAGAATAATTTATCCTTTATGCGTAGACCTAATGGCTTCCGCAGCTGGTGCAAGCGATCTTAAATTAGGCAGATGACACTGTGCTACTGCGAACATCGTGTCGCATGTTCTAGTTTTCTAGGGAATTATTTTAAATATTCTTATTCTTCACCTGAGCGGTTTTCGGTTTGTCACAGAAATCTTTCTTAAAAAATCTACAGCTCACGTCTGTAAAGTAATAGATTGAGAGATAGATGGGTTTCCTAGTTTCTCCTTGTTCAAGATTTTTTCAACAAAACAGCCACGTTTTCCAAGGTTCAAAATCTAATGTAGAGACACAAGAAATCATCAGAAAACTCAACTCAACTCTTTATTGGTTTTTCATCGATTCCTCAGAGATTAGAGAGTTTGACAGATATTTGACGTTTGTTAAAGTTAAAGTAAGATGGTGCAACCCAGCCTAAGTAATAAGTCCTTTGACTCAATACACGTTCAAATTCAAAAGCTAAATAAATTATATTATCGTTCGTTCGTTTCAGCCGAATGATGTCCACTGCTGGACAAAGGCCTCCCCCAAGGATTTCCACAAAGACCAGTCCTGCGCCGCCCGCATCCAGACACCTTCCGCGACATTCACCAGATCGTTGGTACACCTAGTGGGAGGCTTGCACACACTACAATAAATACATTATATTTCAATGTTTTTCTTCCATTCTTCCGCCGCCATTCAGCAGTACTTATCTGGCAATACAAGATAATAAGAAGTGACATTCATTTTCTCCGTAAGACCGAAAGCGTTGCGCCCTAATTGGGCAAAAGTAATTAATTCTGGATTAAATGTACATTATAATATTGCGGTTGTCACGCCGGTCGAGTCTCTGCTAGTGACTGACGCTGAGTGACATGATGCGCAGTTTTATACAACTACGAACATCATTATTAGTTTTACAGAGGGATTACTTTAGCATACTCGTAAGTATAAATCTCGCAAAATACTAAATTGTTGTATTGCCCGCGGTCCGGCCGTTTGGATTTATATGTAACCCTAGCTATTATTATGTATCATTATGAAGTTTCATAATTATGTTAATCCTAGGTAGATATGACAGTTTAAGGTTCCCCCGGGACAAACTTGACCTTTACTGGTAGGGTTTTTATTGGCGGTCAAACTCTACAGGAGTTGCAGCAGTGGGAACGAGACGTGGGAATAATCTCGTGTAGGTAGATTTTGCATTAAGGCGTCCGTTTATCCACTCCCATTTGGCGTTTACAATATGAATACCTATAGATTTAAATTTTACTTTCTGCCAGAAACATTATTTATGGAATATGCATTTAAAATAACATCTATTAAAACTACAAAAGATATTGTAGGGTAAATGCTACGTCGAAATTAAGATCATTGACTCCTAAACAAACGTTGTAAGTTGCAACGATTTGAAATGCGTTTCACTTTGGGCTTCAATGTAAATCAGGTGCGTTTTTTACAAATCAATTATTCAAATATTGTATCCCCTTAGCAGTGGCGCCCTCTTTGGGTGCAGCGTGTAATTTGGACCGGAAGTGGCGCGGTAGGGTAGCTATAGGGTTGTCCTGTCACGACCTTTTTATACTTTGTAGCTACTTCTGTATAGGTACATCAAGAAAATGTATACTACTTTATATTCTTACGAGTATACTTTGTCCAGCAGTGGACGTTATTTGACTGATGCCCGTTTTCACCATCAATCCCTAATTTTTAAGTGACTCCTTTGAAAACAAAATTCCTGTCATGTGTTACCATAGGGTTCACTTAAAAATTAAGGATTGATGGTGAACACGGGCATGAAACGTACGAACGATCTGCCAAGACTAAATTGATAAAATGACTTGTTTTCCATTTATTATATTCAATAGAGATGTATTAAGAACGGTGTTGTTTGAGTTTGGAAGAACGAAAGCAGACTTTATCATAAATAAGTATGTAGAACAAATTAACGTAGCTCTGACAAATGAAAACAAAAACCTCCGAATGTAGGTAAAATGGTTCAGAAATGATTTTTAATTGTTTTACAGCCTGCTAATAGTTCCAAGGCACAACTTTTCAATTCCAATTAGTTTTCAATCAAACTTGCTTTGGAATTGATAGTCAATTTAGTTAGCCAAATAGTGACGTCATTCCTTTGTGTTTCACAAAAAAATGGGAGATTCTGCATTTGAAAACACAAAAAGTATTATAAAAAATAATTTGATCATGGCTTTTATTAGAATCGGCTCTGAAAAAGTATATCAATGGATTTAGTGGTGATTTATTGGCCCAACTAATGAAATCCTTGGTCCAAATCTTTGACGGTAGCCCTGTAGGGTGCATATCCAAGGCACCGAGGGGGCCCGTCACGTTGTCACTTAGGGTGGCTCCAATCAATATGGGGAAACCCATAATTTATGTCCCACCTATTTACGGGGATGACGTCATGCCAGCTGCAAAGTTTTGTTACGCCAATGATTGCCATCCACTGCAGTTTGACCATGAAGTTTGGAGGTGATTTTCTGTCGATATTCGTGGTTTTCCTTTGTCGGGCAGAAATAGGAAAGGTTCGATACGTGACAGATTCAATTTCGTGATTGTTTCGGTTCGTTCGTCTTTTTAGGGTTCCGTAGGGATAGGGGCCAAGGGGACCCAATTGATATGCCTTTGGTATCCATAATTCTGAAAGTTGAATTTAAAAATATTTATTTTTGCCCACATTCATTGGAACAATTCGTTTTAGTATTTAGAAGATTTATTGTACTATGCCCATTTTCACCACCAATCCCTAATTTTTAAGTGACCCATATGGTAACACATAACAGGAATTTTGTTTTGATAGCGGTCACTTAAAAAATAGGGATTGATGGTGAAAACAGGTAAGGTACTCGCATGATACCTACATATTATATTCGGGGTTAATTATAACATAAATTGCAACAATTAAATGTTAAGTGCGTGCGTTTTATCCCAATATTTTTAATATCGGATGTTGTTTTCGAAAAATCCACAATATCCTTTGTTTATTGACTAATTTTTTTTCAGCATCCGTTACAAACGAAGAATTACAAACAGCCTATTAAGTTCATTAACAATTTATTAAACCATTAAGTTTAGAAAACTAGTGCCCGTTTTCACCATAGGTCCCTAATTTTTAAGTGACCCCTATGGTAATAAATAATTGTTTCCATAGGGGTCACTTAAAAATTAGGTATTGATGGTGAAAACGGGCATAAGTCTTTTAAGTCGAATTGAATCGGGTCGTTAATTTCAACTCAAACAAATTGGTAAAATTCTCCTATAGAGTTTCATACCACAGTCTTCATTGAGTAGTGCTGAGAAGAAGCGTATTACAGCGTTTCTTAACCTTTTTTGTCCACGGACCCCTTAGGAAATCAAGCACATATTTAAGAACCCCCTTAATAAAAGTATCAACAATAATTTTGATATTACGATTGTTAAATGGTCCATAGATAAATCTGCGGACCGTTATACATAATATGTCCGCGGACCCCCAGGGGTCTTTGGACCACAGGTTAAGAAACACTGTTATAGAGAGTTCTTTAGTATCTAAAATAAATGAATAAAGATTAGCTGGTACTTACGAATCCTCTTTTTTTCCAGAAAATGTCCGGAGAAGTCGTGCTCGGCGGACTGTTTAGCGATAGGTAGCAGGCTGCGCGGCGCGATGGGCACACGGCCGCCCGCGCGCTTCTGGCCGCAGCTCTGGGCCACGGTCGTCAGGAACCTGCTGCTGAAGAAGCGGGACACCAGGAAGACGCTCGCGGTGAGTGTTGACGAGGCAGAGTCTCTTAAGATTAAGCTTGGGCTAGGAATAAAGGAGCGAGAGGACACGAGGAAGACGCTTGCTTGAGTTCAGGTGAGGAGGAGTCTCTTAGGATCACCTGGATATGTCAATGGAGGAACAGTACACCAGAAAGACGCTCGCGGTAAGTGTTGGCGAGGAGGAGTCTCTTAAGATCAAGGCTGGGTCTGTAGAAGAAGAAGCGAGAGACGAGGAGGAAGCTTGCAGTCGCTCGTGGCTTAGAAGAGTCTCATAAAGCCAAGGCTGGGTTTGTGAGAGAAGAAGCGGGACTTGAGGATGACGCTTGTGGTAAGAAGCAGAGAAGACTCTTAAGATCAAGCGTGGGTCTTTGAAAGAAGAAGCGGGACACGAGGAAAATGCTGTCAGTAAGTAATGACTTAGAAGAGTCTCTTAAGACCAAGCCTGAGCCTTTGAAAGAAGTGGGAAACGAGGAAGACGATTGCGGTGAACCTGACTCAGAAGATTCTCTTAAGACCAAGCATTGGTAAAGATTGGGACACAAGGAAGATGCTTGCGGCGAATCCTGACCCGAATGAGTCTTTTACCCGGTATCTTAAGTTAAAGAATAGTGCGACGCTCTTCTACTGTATGTACCCTGTCTTGTAGTTAAAAGGCGCTCTATGGAGTTAGTGATACGTCTCAAAATGTGTCCAAAGAAACTGAGAATACGAGATACTTACACTTAAGTAGACAGACGTTGCTTGATACCGAGCTCTTGGAGTATAGAACCCTATCATCATAAATTCATCATCATCATCATCATTTCAGCCATAGGACGTCCACTGCTGAACATAGGCCTCCCCTGACGCTTTCCACGTTGATCGATTGGTAGCGGCCTGCATCCAGCGCTTCCCTGCTACCTTTACGAGGTCGTCGGTCCACCTTGTAGGTGGACGTCCCATGCTGCGTTTTCCGGTACGCGGACTCCATTCCAGAACCTTGCTGCCCCAACCATCCATCCCATGTGCTCTGCCCATTGCCACTTCAGCTTGCTAATTCGTCGGGCGATGTCAGCGACTTTAGTTCGTTTACGGATTTCCTCATTTCATCATATATTACTTAAACCTTTTCTGTTACCAGGAGGTGCTAGTCCCGCTCTATTCCCTGGGGGTGCTGATCTTCCTGAAGATGCTGGTGCCGAACCCCAACTTTCCCGAGGTGCGCAAGCCGGGCCGCCTGCTGCGCATCCACCACGACGCCTTCCCGGAGAACCACTCGGTGGCCGTGGTCGCTGACTGGTACAACGACAATGGGACTATGGTATGGAACCTTGTTGTTAAGTCTAAGTAACTTTCTCTCATGAGCTCTCGCCGAGGAAGCAATTAAGTACCATCAGAGGTGACAATGCCCAATGGTGTCGATGCCGATTCTGGACTTTCCAGTGTCGGTAGTTCGCTGCTGGTCTATTATGGTGAACCCACTCGTAACACAAGCACAGGTGCTAGTCTCCTACTCGCTGGATATGCTGATCTTTCTGAAGATGCTGATGGTACGGACTATCTTTCTTTCAATCTTCAATAAATCTTTCAAAGCTCTCGCCGAGGGAGCAAGTATCTTCAGAATAAGTGACAATGCCCAATGTTGTCGGTGTCGGACTGCCAATTCCGGACTTCCCAGAGTTGGTACTGATGGCGCTGCTGGTCTATTGACCCACTCGTAGCACAAGCAGTCCCCCTCTACTCCTGACGATGCTGGTGCCGAACTCCAACTTCCCCGAGGTGCGCAAGCCGGGCCGCCTGCTGCGCATCCACCACGACGCCTTCCCGGAGAACCACTCGGTGGCCGTGGTCGCTGACTGGTACAACGACAATGGGACTATGGTATGGACTCTGGTCTTTTCATTTATGTAACTTTCTAGCTTGAATCTTGAATGAAGGAAGCAAGTATCATCAGAGGTGACAATGCCCAATGGTGTCGCTGCCGATTCTGGACTTGCCAGATGTTTTTTTAGTGTAAACGTAGCTTTCTCTATACAATCTCCAAAAGCTCTCGCAGAGGAAGCAAGTACCATAAGAATGAGATCAGATGACAATGCCCTGGTCGGTTTGGACTATGGCGTTTTAGTCTATGTAGCTTTCTCACTCAATCTCTCATGAAACAGGTACAATTAAAATTAAATTCTCTTGAGTCGACCATAATTAACCTTGAATGAAGAAGAAACGTCCAACCGATTCCAAATGTGATAAGGCCCTCTCCTTTCATGTTGAGTGACCTGTGAAGTATGAGCGCTTTTTATACTTTTACCTAAATTACTCGTTTGAGCAATGATGTCTTGGCCACTGGCATGACTCCTTCCGAATATTTGTTTATTTATTTGAAATTGAGACGATTTGACTAACCGCAATCGCACTTGTTAGTTGATTAGATTATAACATCATGGTAGAGCATGTTTATTCAGTGAATACCTACATAATATACCCAGGGTCTGGTATATCAGTTTCTTATGAAAGCTCCTTTCCTTCATGACTCAATAGCAAGCAACTTGATGCCCAGGCTTACAACCTACAGCCTGCAGCAGAAAAGTTTTACTAATTCCATTATCTAACACCTCGCCTAATTCCCAGGGTTTCCTCGACGACATAAACGCGGTACTCCTGGAATCCGAGCAGCACACGATCAACTGGATCAAGTACAACAACACGACGGAGCTGAACGACGCATACCACAACAATGCGAAGCACTTCCCCATCGCTGTCATCTTCCATACCGACCCTCGATCCTTTGAAGAGCCTCTGAGGTAAGGAATAGTCTCCTTAATAAAGAATACACTACCCTTAGAAATCAGGAGTGGAATTCTTTAAAAAAAAACTTACAAACCGTTATTTATTAATTTTCCTTAAAACAAAAATCAAAATTAACACATCCAAAAATGACAATTTCCTTGATCAGAGAAACAGAATCAATCTATTTTACGTAACGCCTAGTATGCCTAACTATGACCACCATAACACCATAACAACCGATGTGCACGCTCCGAACGCTAGAAAAATAGTGAGCGCGCGGCGGCTTGACACTTATTTTATAAGCGGTCAGGCCTATAGGGGCGATTGCTTATAGTACAGATTCGTATGTGGATCTTGCAAAAATTACAGTCTGATGTGTTGTCAACTTTCAAGTTTACTCCGTAGTGGGAACCTAGAGGGCACTTTACCATTACAAGAATGTTAATTAATTATTTAGTTGTCCTTGTGATGATTCATCCCACCAATTTCGGCCATAGCGACCACTTCGATTCCTAACTGTCTCGGCGACGCTGGTACGCCCGAAAATGGCTTTCGTAGCCGATCATCGCAGCAAATCCCTCGCACATTAAGGGCATACAATATGAGAACGCCGCCAACATAATTCAGCTTTGTCCTTGTAGACAATTTATAATGGAGGCGAGAGAGATCGCACCTGTAAGTTACGTTTAATAAAATCTAACACCAAAGTTACGATAGTTCAGTAATTTTTACAACATTTTGGATATTTCCAAAGAACCTGTGACCATTAGTCTTCCGCCAATCACAAATGCTTCTAAAAATAAGACAAGGGGACCTAAGGACTTGTATCAAGTCAACAAAACAATTAACACTGCAGCTCAACAGCCAAGAAAACAAAATTAAGGAGGAAGTGGCGACCTCATCCAATGACGGCTCTTTCGAGATGCGTATTAATGTTATCTAAAAGAAAGGCCATTCATGTTTGGACAAGGGCACCCAAATAAGTGGGATATTGTCCTCATGGCTATTCGTGGAAGGCCAAGAAAGTTCAGGGTTCGATCCGTGCCATTTAAACACAATGAACTGATTGTTGAAAACTGGACCGAATACTAACTTACTTAGGTACTAGATTATGTAAGGCTAGAACTTTGGATGGCACTAAAACGTGAATAGGCCCAAGCTTAGTCAAATGTGCAGCATTGTCAGCTCTGCTGGGAAATTATAAAGGCCATAATGCTATGCATCATAAGTTCGTAATTTATAGAATTTTCAACAATCTTTGTTTTCAAAGAAAGTCTTTGTTAAGAAACTTACAAATACTGTTTTACGAGTATAAGTTTTGTAGACCGATTTAGTTACATTAAATCTATGTCAAGTCAACATGGTCGATGACAAAATAATAACTAATTACTTACTTACCTAGGTGAAACTTATTTACATACCTTGTAAGGCTGACAAAGGTGCCTGGATGCAAGCGGCGAAGGACTGGTCTTTGTGGAAATCCTTGGGTGAGGCCTTTGTCCAGCAGTGGACGTCTTTTGGCTGAAACGAACGAACTCGTAAAAAGCTATATTTAGGACGTGTTTAAGTTCCCTGAAAAGGGTCTAATTTCTAACAAAGAATTTGAATTAAAAAGTATTCTATTTAGTATGTTTTTTCTTCGCAGATACACCATCCGCACCAACCCGTCCCACGCTGGGACACCGTCAACCCGCACCCTCTACACCTCCCCCGCGAAATGCCGAGAGCGGTCCGGCGCCAAGGACTGGTCCTCCGACTGGTCTCGCGGGGGGCAGCTCATCCCTCTCTCGGAGCACAGGGAGGACACGTGTCCTGTGCTCGAGTATTACTACTCAGGGTTTCTCGCGCTGCAGACGCTGATTGATTATGTTAAGATCAAGGTTAGTTACAAATCGTGGACACTTGCAAAGCTCTTTTTATTTTATATTTACGGCCCGATCGCGAACTTCGTTTACGGCCCGTTCGCGAACGTCTGTCTGCGACGACCGACGCAGACGAGCCTGGGCTTCGCAGCGAAGCCCACACTCGGCCTCGTCGGTACGCGCATCGACGATCGCCAAACGGCTAGAGTACCTTCTGTACTCGCCACTCTGCCCGGTGAAGCTGGAAAAGATCTTCAAGCTACCAGCGCGCGTCCCTTTAAAAAAACTGGGATTTTGTTTTGGTTTTGTCCAGAAACATGGAGACCTGCGGAAGATAATTTGGAAATGGCAATGAGACATGCTACTCTGGTGTAGTGAAGGGCGCCCTCCAGTTAGGTTGAGTCACTAGTACCTACCTGGGTCAATTTCCCAAACACATTTTTTGAGCGGCGTAGCTGAAAATCATATGTTTTTTATGACATAGAACTTTCATTTTTTTTTACACGAAAATATACAGAGGTTCCATTTTGAGGACAACATTATTAATGAGTATTTTCTATTACAAATTCGACAAAAAATAATTGAACTAAGCGTTTCTAATTTTGGTGCAGTGTCCACATCCTTAATTTCTTACAATATGTATTTTTTTAGCTGAAGATCAAAACAGAACTTAGGGAAAAAGTATATTTTTGGATTATACAATCTATCTATTATCTAAGATTACCAANTGGTTAATCTATTATTGTTTCACCGTATGTTTTCCAAACAAAATAAAATAAAATAAAAATAATAAATAAAATTCTCCTACAGAGTTTCATACCGCAGTCTTCATTGAGTAGTGAGAAGAAGCGTATTTACAGCGTTTCTTAACCTTTTTTGTCCACGGACCCCTTAGGAAATCAAGCACATATTTAAGAACCCCCTTAATAAAAGTATCAACAATAATTTTGGTATTACGATTGTTAAATGGTACATAGATGAATCTGCGGGCCGTTATACATAATATGTCCGCGGACCCCCAGGGGTCTTTGGACCACAGGTTAAGAAACACTGTTATAGAGAGTTCTATCTAAAATACTTACATAGATAAAGATTGTCTGGTACTTATAAATGCTCTCTTTTTCCAGAAAATGTCCGGAGAAGTCGTGCTCGGCGGACTGTTTAGCGATAGGTAGCAGGCTGCGCGGCGCGATGGGCACACGGCCGCCCGCGCGCTTCTGGCCGCAGCTCTGGGCCACCGTCGTCAGGAACCTGCTGCTGAAGAAGCGGGACACCAGGAAGACGCTCGCGGTGAGTGTTGACGAGCCAGAGTCTCTTAAGATTAAGCTTGGGCTAGGAATAAAGGAGCGAGAGGACACGAGCAAGACGCTTGCTTGAGTTCAGACGAGAAGGAGTCTCTTAGATCAAACCTGGGTATGTCAAAGGAGGAACGGAACACCAGAAAGACGCTCGCGGTAAGTGTTGGCGAGGAGGAGTATTTGAGAACAAGCCTAGGTCTGTAGAAGAAGAATCGAGAGACGAAGAGGAAGCTTGCAGTCGGTCGTGGATTAGAAGAGTCTCATTTATGAGACAGGAACCTGCTGCTGAAGAAGCGGGACACCAGGAAGACGCTCGCGGTGAGTCTTGACGAGGCAGAGTCTTTTAGGATCAAGCCTGGTCTGTCAAAGACGGAGCGAGACACGAGGAAGACGCTTGCCTGAGTTCAGGCGAGGAGGAGTCTCTTAGGATCACCTGGATATGTCAATGGAGGAACAGTACACCAGAAAGACGCTCGCGGTAAGTGTTGGCGAGGAGGAGTATTTGAGAACAAGCCTAGGTCTGTAGAAGAAGAAGCGAGAGACGAGGAGGAAGCTTGCAGTCGGTCGTGGCTTAGAAGAGTCCCATAATGCCAAGGCTGGGTTTGTGAAAGAAGAAGCGGAACACGATGAAAACGCTGTCGGTAAGTGGTGACTTAGAAGAGTCTCTTAAGACCAAGCCTGAGTCTTTGAAAGAAGTGGGAAACGAGGAAGACGCTTGCGGAGAGTCATAGGAGTCTCTAAAGACGGCGGTTCGCGCGCTGTGACAGAGACAAGAAACTAAGACAGGAAAATGGAGGCAGTGACCGTTACTGCAAACTGCTGCCTTTAACTGGTGTCCTAATCCATTGACATGCGCCATCAAACCAATGGCGTCCCTTGCTTTTGTTATTGTGGCGCGACGCGACGTCGCTTTTTTCTGAGACAGTTTGCAGGTGAGTTGTGATTCATAAAACTGTCTTGAGAACGAGGCGTGATCTGTGTCTCTTAAGACGTCGTGCTCAGCGGACTGCCTGGCGATAGGTAGCAAGCTGCGCGGCGCGATGGGCACGCGGCCGCCCGCGCGCTTCTGGCCGCAGCTCTGGGCCACCGTCGTCAGGAACCTGCTGCTGAAGAAGCGGGACACCAGGAAGACGCTCGCGGTGAGTCTTGACGAGGCAGAGTCTCTTAGGATCAAGCCTGGTCTGTCAAAGACGGAGCGAGACATGAGGAAGACGCTTGCTTGAGTTCAGGCGAGGAGGAGTCTCTTAGGATCACCTGGATATGTCAATGGAGGAACAGTACACCAGAAAGACGCTCGCGGTAAGTGTTGGCGAGGAGGAGTCTCTTGAGAACAAGGTCTGTAGAAGAAGTGAGAGACGAGGAAGACTCTTGCAGTGAGTTCTGGCGAGGAGGAGACTCATAAGACCAAGAATCCACAGAAATCTCCTAAGAAAATCTCCTAAGATACGTTTTGTCAAAGAAAGAACGGGATACCAGGAAGAGGCTCGCGGTAAGTGTTGACGAGGAGTCTCCTAAGACCGAGAATCCAGAGAATTCTGCCAGGGAAGTCTCATTAGATTAAGTCAAGTGTCATCAAAAATCGTCAGAAGCTTACTTCACAAGAGCTAAGATATGAAGATGGCGACGAGCGCTTGCGGCAAGTCCTGACTCGGAGGCGTCTCTTACCCGGTGTCTTAAATTAGCGACGAGCGCGACGCTCTTGTACAAATCGCATATAAACTACAGAGTCAACCTACCTTATGCTTAGAAATTATAAGCCGGAATAAGCAAGCAAGTAAATGTTCCATAAAATCAACGTTAAGCTTATGGTAATAGCGAAGATAGCTCTCTCCCTACATTATAGTATGTAGAACTTAACCGTACTATTCTTCAACTTAATAACCTTAACCTTTTCTGTAACCAGGAGGTGCTAGTCCCGCTCTATTCCCTGGGGGTGCTGATCTTCCTGAAGATGCTGGTGCCGAACCCCAACTTTCCCGAGGTGCGCAAGCCGGGCCGCCTGCTGCGCATCCACCACGACGCCTTCCCGGAGAACCACTCGGTGGCCGTGGTCGCTGACTGGTACAACGACAATGGGACTATGGTATGGACTGTGGTTTTTTCATTTATGTAACTTTCTAGCTTGAATCTTGAATGAAGGAAGCAAGTATCATCAGAAGTGACAATGCCCAATGGTGTCGCTGCCGATTCTGGACTTGCCAGATGTTTTTTTAGTGTAAACGTAGCTTTCTCTATACAATCTCCAAAAGCTCTCGCAGAGGAAGCAAGTACCTACCATAAGAATGAGATCAGATGACAATGCCCTGGTCGGTTTGGACTATGGCGTTTTAGTCTATGTAGCTTTCTCACTCAATCTCTCATGAAACAGGTACAATTAAAATTAAATTCTCTTGAGTCGACCATAATTAACCTTGACTGAAGAAGAAACGTCCAACCGATTCCAAATATGATAAAGCCCTTTCCTTTCATGTTAAGTGACCTGTGAAGGATGGGCGCTTTTTATACTTTTACCTAAATTACTTGTTTAAAGAATGACTTGGGCACTTGGCTGATTCCTTCAAATTTTTGTTTATTTATTTGTAATTGAGACAGTACCTATTTAACTAACCGAAACTCATCTGTTATAAATAGTAGATTAGATTATCACATCTATATGATAGAGCATCTTTATTCAGTGAATACCTACATAATACACCCAGATTCTTATATCAGGTTTCTTAAGAAAAGCTCCAATTTTCAGGTAGCCAACTGCGTAGTTTGGCAATTTGATGCTGTGCAAGATTCTAAGCCTTAAACTCTCCAAAGTTTAAGTACAGCCTTACAGCAAAAAGTTTTACTAATTCCATTATCGAACACCTCGCCTAATTCCCAGGGTTTCCTCGACGACATAAACGCGGTACTCCTGGAATCCGAGCAGCACACGATCAACTGGATCAAGTACAACAACACGACGGAGCTAAACGACGCATACCACAACAATGCGAAGCACTTCCCCATCGCTGTCATCTTCCATACCGACCCTCGATCTTTTGAAGAGCCTCTGAGGTAAGAAAAATACATAATACTAACTACAACATCCTTAGCATCATAGGTGAGACATACGAGTAGACTAGAGCATTTACTTAACAACAAATCGCTCTATGAAATGTCTACTGTTTTAACTTGTATTGTACCATTCGTAGAATAGAAATGCTCTAGTCCAGTGGTTCCCAAAGTTGTCTGGGCTACGACTACGACTCATATAATACAAGTTCCCAAACTCGAGACCTACCTACAGGAAATTTAGCCGTTACCAATATGCTCAAATAAAGGAGTCGGATCTGTAGGATGGTGTGTCGTTCTACATGCAGGGTCCACCCATGCATACAAATATGCATAATCTGATGCGCAGGCGAAGTGAGGACTTTACAACATAAATCCGGGTCCAGTCAGGTGTAACGCGTAATATAATGTATCGTGTAATGTAATGGAAAGTATGGACAGCACTTTACATATAGGTAATGCTCGTAGTGCCGTCCACACGTAGAATTCGTGTTACATTACACATTACATTACACACGTCTGGACCCGGCTCAACTCGTTCGTGGTTGAAACATGGGGTCCTGTCATTGTTTAAATATGATTGTCTAATAAGATATCAGTCATTCTTGCACTATTTTGAATATTACCAATTTACCAAAGAACCTATACGCGACCATTGGGCTTCCACCATTCACAATGTGTCTCTAAATAAAACTTTTAGCACTGAAGGAGACTTAAGGACTTATATCAAAAACAAAACAATTAACAAACACTGCATGAGTTGCAGTCACAGCCAAGAAAACAAAATTAAGGAGGAAGTGGCGACCTCATCCAATGACGGCTCTTTCGAGATGAGTATTAATGTATATCTAAATTTAGAAAGGCCATTCATGTTGGGACAAGGGCACCCGAATCCAAGTGGGATATTGTCCTCATGGCTATTCGTGGAAGGCCAAGGAAAGTTCAGGGTTCGATCCGTGCCATTTAAACACAAGAACTGATTGTTGAAAACTGGACCGAATACTAACCTACTTAGGTACTATATTATGTAAGGTTGGAACTTTGGATGGCACTAAAACGTGAATAGGAGAGCCTAAGTTTAGTCAAATGTGCAGCATTGTCAGCTCTGCTGGTAAATAATAAAGGCCACGGCTCAGAAGTTTAAAACTTCTGAAGTTTTCAACGATCTTTGTGTTTCCAAAGAAAGTCTTTGTTAAGAAACTTACAAATACTGTTTTATAAGTTTTGCAGACCGATTTATGTTAAGTTCTATGACAAATCAACATGGTCGATGACAAAATAATAACGATCAATTACTTTCTTACCTAGGCTAAACTTATTTACCTACAAACCTTACCTTTTAAGGCTGACAGAGGTGACTCAGGTTCTTCCGCCACTTATCGACGCCAGGAGCGAAATTGTAGTGGTACTCGTAGAAACGTCGTGGGCAGGCCTCCCACTAGGTGGATCGACGATATGGTGAAGGTCGCGGGAGGTGCCTGGATGCGAGCGGCACAGGACCGGTCTTTGTGGAAATCCTTAGGCCTTTGTCCAGCAGTGGACGTCTTTCGGCTGAAACGAACGAACGAACGAACTCGTAGAAAGCTATATTTAGGACGTGTTTAAGTTCCCTGAAAAGGATCTAATTTCTAATAAAGAATTTGAATTAAAAATTATTCTATTTAGTATGTTTTTTTCACAGATACACCATCCGCACCAACCCGTCCCACGCTGGGACACCGTCAACCCGCACCCTCTACACCTCCCCCGCCAAATGCCGAGAGCGGTCCGGCGCCAAGGACTGGTCCTCCGACTGGTCTCGCGGGGGGCAGCTCATCCCTCTCTCGGAGCACAGGGAGGACACGTGTCCTGTGCTCGAGTATTACTACTCAGGGTTCCTCGCGCTGCAGACGCTGATTGATTATGTTAAGATCAAGGTTAGTTACAAATCGTGGACACTTGCAAAGCTCTGGTATTTATGGCCCGATCGCGAACGTCGTTTACGACCCGTTCGCGAACGTCTGTCTGCGAAGACCGACGCGGACGAGCCTGGGCTTCGCAGCGAAGCCCACACTCGGCCTCGTCGGTACGCGCATCGACGATCGCCAAACGACTAGAGTACCTTCTGTACTCGCCACTCTGCCCGGTGAAGCTGGAAAAGATCATCAAGCTACCAGCGCGCGTCCCTTTAAAAAAAACTGGGATTTTGTTTTGGTTTTGTCCAGAAACATGAAGACCTGCGGAAGATACCTTTTAAATATGTTCTGAATCGCCAAATTTGGAAATGGTAATGAGACACTACTCTGGTATAGTGTAGGACGCCTTCCAGTTAGGTTGAGTCACTAGTACCTACCTTAAACTGGATTCAAAATCCAAAATCTGAAGACAGGTTCAAATGGCGCGCATTAGGGCATGTCTAAATATGCCCGGCAGTTGATTGTTAAAGCTGATGACTCAAGAATACATATGTGCATGCTTGTGATTGTTGAACTAAATATTGGAACTCAACCAGGCATAAAATACTTAGTGGTGAATCGGATTACCGTTAGCATTTTAGGCTAAAAAGCTTTTTATCATTTTGTTGGCTAGTTTAGCAACAATATCTTATTTATCTAGGTACTCTGGTAATTGATATCCGCCTGTCAGTTTACATGTACTTTGGTTAATGAATGATAAACATGCCTGACCTAAAAGCAGCAAAAAGCTTGGATGAAATAAATGGACACTCACGTACTTAGCTGACACCCTTTTTTTTCTTTTTTTTTTCGGGGAAAAATGCATTGAATTGCAAACTTACCCTACGGGGACAGGGTAGGTTATGTGGGGCTCACCAAGTCAGAAGGACAAGGCATATCCACTAAAAGACCCCGGTGCTCCATCATTCGCCTTAAGTGGGAAGGAACTGTGGGATTCCGGACAAAGCCTTCACTACCACAGTAGATTAACATATCTACTTTTTACCCGACTACCCAAAAAGGAGGGTAATGTTTTAGTGTACAAATAAACTGCGGGTAGGTAATCCACAACGTAAATTGACTGGGCTGTACGATAAGAGCGCTTTCACATTAGGGCGTCAGAAGCGTGACAGCAGCGCGGCAGCGGCGTTTTTATAATGTGAAGGCATGCATCCGCTGTCATATAGTAAGAAATTATCGGCAGCGCGTCTGTTGCGCGTTTGTCACACTGCTAAAGTCACCTAAATGTGCAATATACTCAATCGTTTCATTTCACAGTAATAATAGTGAAGTTCAACTCATCCTCTTCTACTTCCAGACAGACACAGACTCCTCAATCCCACCCCCACGCGTGGACCTCCGCCAGTTCCCGAAACGTCAGCACACTGGCGACTGGCTGGTCATCTTCCGTGTCATCATGCCGATGTACATGGTCATGACGCTGTCTCAGTTCATCACGTATCTGCTGATGTTTGTGGTGGGCGAGAAAGAGAAGAAGATCAGGGAGGGGATGAGGATCATGGGGCTGAAGGACTCAGTATACTGGTGAGTGGGTTTAGCAAGTCCGGACCGTGAGTTTAGGGGGCCCTGGGCTAATGCTACTTAGGGGCCCACCTACTGTACTTATTCGCATTATCGTCTATTTTTTACTTTGACTTGACTTAGCTGGGGGCCCTTTGAATCCACGGGGCCCTAGGCTGAAGCCCAAAATCCGGCCCTTGGGTTTAGATACGGCGCAAGTACACTATGCGAGACGAAGCGTGAGCCTGCACACCGAAGTATGGGCGACGCACGGTTAAAATAACCGAAATGCGTGTTCACACTATACGTCTCGATCATTTCCTGCATATGTGTATTTGCGCCAATAGACTGCTCTTTTCAGATTGTGTTGTGATTTTATCGTTGATGATTGAACTAATAGATAGGTACGATTATGGGACATTATTAAGGAAGTTATGGTAGAGATTAATGTTACACCTCTCCTTTTTTTACGTAAAAAAAAGTTTCCATGTTTAAGAAGGCCTAAAATAAAATCCAAGTTATCACACGTTATGAAATTCACCAAGGTTCCCAACTCAGTGGACCGGCGATGGGAAGGACTTTTGTGCAGACAGCACCGGATCAGACTCATAGTGAAGTCCATGGGGCATTTGTCTATAATTGATGTTTTCCTTGTAATTAAAACGCTTTCACAAAAAAAAATGTGGGCAGTTATTCACTTGCGATTTTTTTTCAGGGGTGCTTGGTTCCTGATCTACGCTGTGTTTGTAACAATACTCTCTATCGTCAGTACTGTCCTGCTTTTTACTTTGAAGGTATGAATTCTTTCAAAAAGTTCTAAAAATGAGAAAAGAGGTTCCATGTTTTTAAAAAAGTATTCAGATATATTTAAATATCGAACCTCTTTTCAGGTTAGTTTACGAGTTTTTTTCGAGAAGTAATTTGCGATAGTTACTGAAAAGAGTTTGACTGCATTTTGTAACTGGCCGGTAAAATTAATCTTTTAAAAAACAAATTTTGCGATGCTATTTTATTTCGACCTTTCGTTTTTTACACGAGTTCCATGTACCTAGTTAAATAATTAATTACGATGTTATCAAAGTATTCAAGGTTTCTCTTAATGAGTGGTCTATGCAAATATTTGAATATATTTTGCAGGTGTTCCAGCATTCTTCGTACATCCTCATTTTCCTGCTGATGTTGCTTTTTGGGTTCACCATCATCACCTTCGCGTTTATGTTGACACCGTTTTTCGACCGGGCTAGAGTGAGTAACTTACCTTTACTTTTAATAACTATACTTATTTTAGCTTGCTATTATAAAGGTTTTTTACTGTAGGATTAGAGTAATTGTAACTTTCCTCCGAGACAAACTTGGCCATCACTTTTTTATTGGCGGTCAAGCTGCAGATCCTGACTATACAGGAGTTGTAGTGTTGGGAATGAGAGGCGAGAAAAGTCCCATGCGTAATTGTAGGAATGAAATGTGGTAAGGAATAGTATTAACATAAAAATTCTTATTAATTACGTTTGTTTATTTTTATAAATTAAGTACAACTGGTACAACTTAGGTATGTAACTTTCAATAAACCTTCTATAGTGTCCGAGAACACGCGACTGTGCGATGGGCGCCCGCAGTGAGTGTCCGAGCGCGACAGCAACATAATTACGCGCGAGCGATAAGGATGGGTAGCTTAGGGTCATTGGACAAAATTCTACGTGCTCACGGACCAGACTATAACAATAAATATATGCATACAAGAACAATTAAGAATATGAAAACACTCTCTAGTGCCGCTCCCGGTCCCATAGAAGCCTGACTGACTCAGCTAAGCGCTGAACCTATAGTCGTTGACACGTGTTTATTTATTTACTAATTCACCTCCAGACGGCCGGTATCCTGGGCAGCTTCGCCGTGAACCTGATGAGCGGGCTCTACTTCATCCAGGTGTTCGTCTCCAACGCCGACTCGCTCGCCTTCTGGTTCGTCTCGCTCATCAGCTCCAGCTGCTACGCACTGGCTATGGATAAGGTGAGGTTTATCTTCATCATCATCATCATTATCTTCAACAGAATCATCTGCTTCTTCTTCTATTTCGTCCTCATCATCATTTTCATCATTATCATCTTCATCATCTTCATCATTATCATCTTGATCACCCTCATCTTCGTTTTCAAGTCTCTCTAATTTTATCTGTATAATTTACCACAGGCACGCCGATCAGAGTTGGGGACGCCTGATGTCTGTATATCTGTCCCTGTCATGTAGTACCAGCAGAGTAGAATAGGACCACCTTTATTCTTCCTGTAGATGTCGTACGAGATGACTAAGGAAGAAATATTATGCGAATAAAAAATACGGCCTGACATAGAAAGGCCTCCCTTCTGAATATTATATAACTAATTTGACTTTGTTCAAGTCCTTTTATCTAACGTCCAGTTCTAGACATGATCGATCAACTCTTTGTTTAAAGTAGCTGCACTTTGATGAGGTCGATTGAGATGAGTCCAAGTCACTGCACGCACACCCTGCATCATAATATTAAAGCCAGCTCTGGTGACCCTAAAGGCTTTTTAAGAGCAATATTGACGATGTGCAAGTAGGTACCTAATATGTATTTAAACAGTCCACTCCAAACAATTTTTTTTTTCATTCTGGGTAATTTGATTAATGTGTTGTTCCAGGCTCTGGTCCTGGACATGGCTGGTGTGGGCGTGACGTGGGACAACCTGTGGAGCGGGCCCGGCGTGCCCTTCGGCGGCAGCCTCATCATGATGGCGGTAGACACGGTGCTCTATGGCCTCTTCGCCTACTGGCTGGACGCCGTCATCCCGAGTGAGTGATCCAGCATCATACTCTATAGTAAACACCACCTGGACTCTAGTTCTGGACTTGGACAGAGTAAGCGTGACATAGGACAACTTCTTCGCGTACGGTCAACGATGTCATACCGGGTGAGTGATCGATCATCATAGGGAGAGGAGTCTGTACTGGCTCTATCGTAAAGTGTGAGCATAGAGTAGGCGTGACGTGGGACAACCTCTTCACGTACTGGCTCGACGCCGTCATCATTAGTGAGTCTTTGAGCATCATAGGAAGTTATTACTGCCTCTAGTCTAGACACCTGGGGTTCTAGTTCTGGACTTGGATGGAGAGGGCGAGTCGTGGGAAAACCTCCTTACGGGCTGAAAACTGTCATCTCCAGTGAGTGATCCAGCATTCTAGGGAGGAGTCATACTGGCCCTAGTGTAGACACCTGGGGCTTTAGTCCTGGACATAGCCGGCGTGGGCGTGACGTGGGACAACCTGTGGAGCGGGCCCGGCGTGCCCTTCGGCGGCAGCCTCATCATGATGGCGGTGGACACGGTGCTCTACGGCCTCTTCGCCTACTGGCTGGACGCCGTCATCCCGAGTGAGTGATCTAGCATAGGGAGAAGTCAGGTCTAGTCTGGGATAAGTCCCGTTTGTGTCTACTCTAGACACTTTCTGGGGCTCCAGTCCTGGTCATGGAAGGAGTAGGCGTGACGTGATACAAACTCTTCGCATACTGGCTCGACGGTGTCATCACAAGTGAGTGATCTAGCATCATAGGAGTCATTACTGTCTCTAGTCTAGACACCTCCTCGGGCTCAATTCTAGACACCTCCTCGGGCTCTAGTCTAGACACCTGGGGCTCTAGTCTAGACACCTCTTCGGGCTCTATTCTAGACACCTCCTCGGGCTCTATTCTAGACACCTGGGGCTCTAGTCTAGACACCTCCTCGGGCTCTATTCTAAACACCTCCTCGGGCTCTAGTCTAGACACCTAGGGCTCTAGTCTAGACACCTGGGTCTCTAGTGTAGACACCTGGGGCTCTAGTCTAGACACCTCCTCGGGCTCTATTCTAAACACCTCCTCGGGCTCTAGTCTAGACACCTAGGGCTCTAGTCTAGACACCTGGGTCTCTAGTGTAGACACCTGGGGCTCTAGTCCTGGACATGGCCGGCGTGGGCGTGACGTGGGACAACCTGTGGAGCGGGCCCGGCGTGCCCTTCGGCGGCAGCCTCATCATGATGGCGGTGGACACGGTGCTCTACGGCCTCTTCGCCTACTGGCTGGACGCCGTCATCCCGAGTGAGTGATCATCATAGGGAGAGGAGTCTTTACTGGCTCTATTGTAAAGTGTGGGCCACTCTATGAGTGGGCGTGACGTGGGACAACGTCTACGCGAACGGGGTGGAAGCCGTCATCTCGAGTAAATGATACAGCATGGAAGGAGTCATCGTTGTCTCTAGTCTAGACGCTTGGGGCTCTAGTTCTGGACTTGGAAGGAGTGGACATGGGAAAACCTCTAGCGTCATAGGGAGGATTCATTACGAGTCATTACTGTATCTAATGTAGACACCTCCTGGGCTCTAGTTCTGGGATATGGCATGACGTGGGACAACCTTTGGATCGGGCCCGGCTTGCCATGATGAATCGAAGGTAATCACGCGCGGCTGTCGTGAAGTATCCGTCTTGGGGTCTTATCTTTGGAATTTGGGTTTTGACGATATTCTAGCATTAGGGGAGAGGGGGGCAGCTTTGAACAATTTTTATACTTTATTAAATATCTTCTAAATTTGACTGATTTCATTAATTTTTTCTTCCTAGATAGAGGTCATGGTTATCACACAACAAAATAATGATGTTCTTATTAATTATTCATGAACGCTTATTAAGATATTTAGATTTTTGCACAGACCTGTAAACGTTCAAAACTGCCCCGTAGTCGGGGCAGCCTTGAACACGCCTGGGGCAGTTTTGAATTAGTATTTTTTTAAATGATATAAAACTGAATATTTATGAAAGTGTATTTTTTAAATAATTAATAAACAAAATTTTCAATGATCAGTGTCATTTGGGATCAATGTAACATGTTTATTTTATTTAACATCACTCTGTACAAAGTAACACAAAACTAAGGGATATTATTAAAAAAAAAGTAAATATAAGATATATCAATTAACTAAATACTAATAAACTTTCTGATTAATGAGACATCAAAGAGAAAACTGCATAATTTAAAAATTCCCTCTAATATGGTCGAGTGAAGCGATGGCTGGTTCACTCGTCATGTCTGTGAACAGGCGCTGCTTTCGGGGACTGGTCAATCCAAGTTATTCAAATTTATGTATGCGAGTCATTTCTACTAGTATCTTAATATGTAAGTCTAGATATTAGCACGTCACTACCTTGTTTAATATACCACGCAATCTTGTATACCCATTCTTATAAGATACACCATACAAGAATGCATGGTAAATTCAGTGAACTGCTCCTGAATCGAATGTACCTACTACTACTATTTATATTTATTTATATTAACCGGCAGACAGTGGTGACTGAGTTTGTTGCGGCGCTTCTTCTCAGCACTTGCCAAATGTTGGTCTCGAAGCGCTGGTAGGGTAAAAAGATTATGAGACATGTAGAGGCTCCTTAAGAGCAAAATGACGATTTGTAAGAACTATTTATTAGTCTAAACAAATAAAGAAATTTTGACTTTGACTTTGACTTTCAGACTGAAGAATTCTGTTACTGTGCGAGAGCACAGAGATATTATACAACCGCCCTAGAAAGTCAGGCATCGGAAGAAATGGCGAAAAATTGTGAGATTTATGAAGAACTTTCATGAAGAACACAACCTTCACCTAATTCTGATTCCCTTTTAAAACAATTCGATGCATGCTGTGTTTCCAAACATATCGCTAGAATCTATTCTTTCCGGATTTTAACTTCCGTTTCCTTAGGTGCTTCATTCTTATCAACTCCAAAAGGTTGAAAGAAAAAGTGATGCTGTATAGCAACACATGTCTTGACAAAACGTACCGCAAAACAGCTTGCTAGACTATTCAGTGTGCAAACATTTAACTTATTAGCCTCAATTTCCTGTACCCTTTAGAACTTCCAAGTTGCACCATCTCTTACAGGGAACTCCAAGACAAAGAAGCCATCCGGATCGTGGGTCTCCAGAAAAGCTTCCGGCACTGCCGAAGACCGGAGATCAAGGCCATTGATGGCATCGACCTGAGCATCTATGAGGGTCAGATCACGGCTGTGTTGGGTCACAACGGCGCGGGCAAGTCCACGCTGTTCAATATCCTGACTGGACTGACGGCACCCACTAATGGGACGGCGTATGTCTATGGACTGGATGTTAGGTGAGTTGGGAATAGGACTTCTTAGGCTTCATCTTACTTTAACAAACGTCAAAAATCTGTCAAACTCTACACAAAAAGCACCGGTTATCGTTAAAGTAACTGTTAAAGTTAGGTGGTGCAATTCAGCTTTAGTATTTCAGTTGGATTATGCGTATTAGTTCTACTGGATCATAGTCAGTTCTGGGTAGGACGAAAGGAGTGGCCGTATAATAAGCAGTATAAGTGGCAAGATGTGAAAAGGACTAAAGAGGCACCGAAAGACTATCTCTGTATGCTATGTAAAAACAAATGGAGAATTGGAGATTTCGATTTTGAACGGACAAATTAAATGAGGTCCCCTGCTCGTCACAGTTCCTATCAGTTCCTCTGAATTGACAAATAATTGAAACTTCTCCATCGCCTGTTTGTGATTGTTCCTCTGTTACAATCCTGTATTAGGAAGTGTGGTTTTCAAGAACATTGTCATTGTTTCAGGGATCCAAACGACATGCATGAGATCCGGCAGATGATAGGCGTATGCCCGCAGCAGGACGTTCTCTTCGACCTGCTGTCAGTCAAGGAACACCTACAGTTCTTCTCAGCAGTCAAAGTTAGTAAGAAGTTTTCCTCTCGTTCCAAGGGAACTAAAGAAAGATAAGGATCTTTCTTTAGTATTGTACTTCTTAGCATACTTAATAATAGGGACAAGATCACAAGAGATGATATGAAAAGACTCCATTCATTCGTTTCAGCAAAATAACGTCCACTGTTGGACAAAGGCCTTCCCCAAGGATTTCCATAATGACCGAACTTGCGCTTCCCGTATCCACGTTCTTCCAGCGACCTTCACCAGATCGTCAAGGAAAGACTTACAGTATAGGATCTTCTTCATGATTTCTACAGGTTTCCGTAATTAGCAGTAGTTGGAGCAATTGCCTAACAAACGATCCACTTTTATGCTTCAACTACTTACGCGTGCAGATCGCCATAGCCGGCGCAATCATAGAGAAATGACAGGTCGCGTGAACTGTCATGGGTCGCGCGACCTGTCATTTAGCCTGTGATCGCGCTGGCGATGGCGATCTGCACGCGTTGGTGTGGTTGAAGCTTTAGGCATCAAATTCTGTCAAGTGAAATATCCCTTTTTAGCTTAAGATGAGTTTCATGTGTGTTGCCAGTGATGGTATACGGATCTGAGACGTGGTCGCTTACTATGGGCTCATAAGAAGGCTCAAGGTCACCCAAAGGGCGATGGAGCGGGCTATGCTCGGAGTTTCCCTGCGTGATCGAATCAGAAATGAGGAGATCCGCAGGAGAACCAAAGTAACCGACATAGCTCGCAGAATTGCTAAAATCAAGTGGCAGTGGGCGGGGCACATAGCTCGTAGAGACGATGGCCGTTGGGGCAGGAAAGTTCTCGAGTGGCGACCACGGGCTGGAAGACGTAGCGTGGGCAGGCCTCCTACTAGATGGACCGACGATCTGGTAAATGTCGCGGGAAGAGCCTGGATGCGGGCAGCGCAGGACGTTCATTGTGGAAAACCTTGGGGGAGGCCTTTGTCCAGCAGTGGACGTCATTTGGCTGAAACGAACGAACGAACGAGTTTCATGACCTACTTCCAAATTATAGGGAATCCCAAGAAAAAGGCGTCCAGATGAAATCCACAAGGCACTATCTGACGTCGGCCTGCTGGACCAAGCAGGAGTGTTCGCCAAGCATCTCTCCGGCGGCCAGAAGAGGAAGCTTAGTATAGCCATCGCTTTCATTGGAGATCCAAAGGTATTCTACTTCTTCACCAATATCGTTTTTAGAACTGATGAGAGTAATCTCGATCGTTCGATCGATCTAGCATGTTTTTGGATTGAATTGATGACATGTAGTGATTTCACTCTTTTAGTAAAAAATTACTATATTGCTAATGTTTTCATAGAAAATACTACAAAAAACAATAATTCCAAAAAACTCTAGAACTTAAAACTTTATTCAGTAGTGTTTCCAGCACATGACAGACTAAAGGTACATTTTTGTTGCGAAATAGCGTGTATTACAACGGAATAAGTTTATTTTTATGTGCTGCTTGCTGTACCTCTATGATCTCATCATCAGAAGGAATTTTGTAATTCCTTGAGTCCAATGCTTAAACTGACCCTTCCTAATTCTAACCCTGACAATTTTATACTTGACCAGAAACTATTCCTTCCAGATAATAATCCTGGACGAGCCAACGGCAGGAGTAGACCCAGTATCCAGAAGACAGACGTGGCGCATCCTGCAGCGAGCAAAGAGAGGGAAAGTGCTGCTTCTGACCACGCACTTTATGGATGAAGCCGATATACTGGGGGATCGTAAGGCTGTCATCAGTAAGGGCAGGGTAAGGAATTCTTTTACTATCCTCCATTTGCGTCCATTACAAAGGGGCATTCTTCTAGATGAAACAAAGGCAGAAGTGAACCCAGTATCCAGAAGACAAACGTGGTGGATCCTGCAGCGAGTGGATTGGAAGGTTGTCATCAGTAAGGCAGGGTAAGGAACTGTATGTTATCCTCCATTTTCCTCCATTAGAAAAGGGTTTTCTCCTGGACGAACCAACGGCAGGAGTGGACCCGGTATCCCGCAGGCAGACGTGGCGGATTCTGCAGCGAGCAAAGAGAGGGAAGGTGCTTCTTCTGACTACGCACTTTATGGACGAAGCCGATATACTGGGGGATCGGAAGGCTGTCATCAGTAAGGGCAGGGTAAGGAACTATCGAATGTTACTCTTTGGCCTCTGATTGGAGAGGGTCGTCTTCCTGCTGTGGAGACTAATGAAGATGATGGTGACGATAAGAATGAAGAGATTATCAGTAGGCATCACCTTTTATTTATTGGACTAACCTTATTCAATGGCTGCCTTTGAACTGGAAAATTATGGATGCTGCAGTGTGTGCTGTAGATGGATGCTATCTTGGAGCTAGAATATTATATAGACCTTATTCAAAATGTGCTGAGAAATGTCTAGATGTCAAACATCTCGGACAAAACTAAGAATTATCGAGACCAGCTTTGAATTTTAATAAGCATGTCATTTGTATAGTGTTTAAAGATAGTGTTATTAAAACTGTACCTATGATAATCTTTCTTTTTCAGGTGCGGTGTGCGGGCACATCGCTATTTTTGAAGAATAAGTTTGGCATTGGATACCATTTAACGCTAGTATTAGACGGTAAGAACTACTTCCTTTTACCTAATATCAAATTAGCTACATGTTGGGCGCCAATAAATATTTTCAGTATAAGTGTTTTTGCCGTAGAGCAAACTAGAACAAAACGATCATCAAGTTGATAATTTTATTGTAGATCTGTGGGCTAATTCAAATGCATTTGTCGAGAGTAGAAATCGTCTGTCAAATAATTTTCTAGTAATCAATTTTGAACTGATTGTGAAGGTAATACAGTTGAAAATTGAATAACAAAGCCAGACTACGCCTAATGTCAGATCAGCCGATGGTAGATGCCAAATTTCCAATATCGCGTACGAAGACNGTGGGCTAATTCAAATGCATTTGTCGAGAGTAGAAATCGTCTGTCAAATAATTTTCTAGTAATCAATTTTGAACTGATTGTCAAGGTAATACAGTTGAAAATTGAATAACAAAGCCAGACTACGCCTAATGTCAGATCAGCCGATGGTAGATGCCAAATTTCCAATATCGCGTACGAAGACGGAGAACTTTGTCAATATAGTGGTACATAAGGGTCATAATTAGTGGATGCCGACGATTTTCGCGCTGTCATCTCAACGACAGCCCACCCTTGTCGTTAGAGCAGTCGACTGGATAGAAAGCATGGAATTAACATGGTGATTGATAAACTAGGTGCAAATAAGCATAGGTATTTTATAACCACAGAATGCTTTTTGCTTAAATTTGAAAATAAAGGATATTGTTCTGCGTCCATACATCGTTCGCCCCAAGACCCCCAAGCAATGAAATAATGATTTTTATATGTGAAATTACTTAACGATTGTCACCTTATACTCCACTAGCTTTTCGCTCGCGGCTTCGCGCGCGTGGCCTACATTAGGTACCTACATATTTTACGGAACCCTATTATTTTCCAAAATAAAATTTAGCCTGTTACTCGTGGATAATGTAGCTTTCAAATGGTGAAAGAATTTAATAAAAACGGTCCAATAGTTTTTGAGTCTATTCATTACAACCAAACAAACAAAGTTTTCCTCTTTATAATATTAGTGTAGATACAGTAGCGGCGTAAGGGGGGGGCGGTGGGGGCGGTCCGCCCCGGGTGCCAAGCATCAGGGGGTGACACAAGTCGCGCAGATTAGTAGGGTAAGTGCGCTAGTTTTCGTCCAATTATCGGAGTTGCCAACTTTGTGATGCGAAATGAATATCTTAAAATACCCTTACTCATATGTATCATATGCCATTTTAGTCCTTATATAGTCTACTTTACGTTAATATTATATGACAATAAGTAAATACCACGGGTTTTTTTATAAAAAATATTTTATGCAAAAGATGCGATTTCATTAGTTTTCGTCCAAAAAAATCAGTTTTCGTCCTAGTGTACGCTAGTTTTCGACCACTGTGTAGAAAAAAGGGTGCAGTTGAATTATTAACTTAAAACCAATTCTACCATACAGTAACTATGGATTGTGGTATATCATTTGAAAGGTAATTTTGTTAGCTTTCAAATGATATCAAAAAGATTTAAATAAGTTTCTTACCTAAAGGACAATGTTCATTTCTGGCCTGGCGTGGACAACCTGCTAATGAAAATATGAATTTGCCAAAAATTTTTAATTAATTTTTAAAGTATTCACTTAGTGTAACTTTGTATCAATTTGCTTTTATAAAAATCCAATTTAAATAGTACTTTAAGTGATAATTACAACTTCCTGTCTTTAACTCATTTCAGTGTTGCCAAAATGAATCTTATCGGTAAGAATTGATTCATATCGATTGTTGTTCGACTATGACAATTATTTTTTTTAAATACGTATTCATTAAAATGACCATTTAAAAAACCTTTTTAATATTCTAATAACACTACAAAAAATATTTAAATAACTAAATGAAACCTTATTTCACATACACCTTATTATACACCTTATTTCGAGTCATCAAAAAATACAATCGATTTTTATATCGATTATTTTTATTCATCACCACATTATTAGCATGGCAACACTGAAAATATTGTCACACACAGCTGTTATCTGTCATTCGCTTTGTTTTGTATTTTTCATCGTGAGTTCCTATGTATTACTTTTCTCTATGATCGTGAGTGTTG